CAAAGTATATTAGCCTAAAAGAGTAATTTTCCAACATTGAGACACTGAACACTGTGGCTTAAAGGTGGGACAATTTCTATATTCAAAGGAGCAATTTTTTGCTACTAAAATGCTCCTTGATGTTGCTCAAAGGTGTCCTTCTCCCAGTCCAGTCCCAATTATGCTCTTTCTCTAATGAAGACTGCTTCATCATGGGTGTATCCTCACTTTAAATAGCAAAGACACACTCCACAATTCTTGTAACTTTGGGAAAAGTCAATTCAACATTTTAATAACTCCCACTGCAAGTAGACAGGAGTGTCTAATCCCTCATCTCCTGAATGTCACTGCTTTCTAGAGGTTTTTATACCAGGAATGGGAAAAACCTATATCCATACTCCAGGCTTTTGATGCTTACTAAGAATCATGGTGATTTCAGTAGGCTTGTGACTCTCAAACTACATGGTGTTTTTGATTCCTGATGTATAACTGGTAGGTTAAAATCTGGAAATAATATTAAGGATCTTGGGAAGCGGTCGTGTTTTGTGTTCTTCAGGTGGCAAAAACAATTCATTTAATAATTCTATAGAGCAAATAGAATGGAGTAGCAAAGAAAAAAATAACGAAGATGTAAAGATAGATGGTTCCACTAAATAGGAATTAAATGTGAATTCTGTAGATGAAAGGAGAAAAAATTCTGACAACTGTTTATTCAGTTACAATGAATATACAATATATTCATCCTGTATACATATCTACATATATATAGATTAGGCATAATAGTTTCTGAGTTTCCATTACTAGTTACATTATCAAGTTAGGAAAACAGAAGAAATACTCAAATGTGTGAGGCTGAGTATTTTCAGTGCATTTAATGTATCAAGGTACTCATAATTTTCATTTAAAATGAAGTAATTTAACTTCAAAAAGATGAAACGATTTTTGTAAGAACACATCTTTTCCTAAATCCCTGCACTGAAACTAGGTTTGAATATTTATGCTGTAATTATTATTAATGAACTAAAACAAGCTGATTATTTCAGAACAGTATTCTTAACTATGAATTTTGAAACCTAGAGAATTCTTAAATGTTGCCCAGGAAATATGATAGGTGCTTTATACAGACTATCTAATTTAATCTCTCGATCAAGATCAAGGTAAGATCAAGGCCACACAGCAGGGTAAGGACACCTTAACCCTTTGAACTACTTTGCCACAGTCCAGTTTTAATATTTCTGGACTATTGTTCTCTGATAAATTTTACAGATATTTATCAATATTGAAATAACAATTTGAGTATTTGCAAATGGTTTATGAAACCTAATTTTTTGTCATGGAAAAACAGGAGATTATTTAAATTAAAAAAAATCACAGAAGGTATTTGCAGAACTTGAAATGTGCTGCAAATTACAAACTCAATTTTGAAGAATGAGTCTGAGTCCTTAATGTGTCTTTCCCACCCTCCCCCAAGTGGCTCCTGTGTCACCTTGAGATACCACCATCTAAGTGGATTTTTAAATTTGTTTTGTTTTGAGCATTATGGTACTCAAGGATGTCCAACACTTATCTTGTGTATCTCCTTGTCCAGTTGTAGAATATATTTTTTTTTCTAGTCTAAAAAAATAGTTTTGTTGGAGTAGCATGAGAAGGAGGGATATTCTCTCTCTTTCAAATGTTTCTATGGGATCATAAAATAAAATTGAGAAAAACTCATAGGTACACCTTTTGGTTATCAATAGTTTAATGGGGCGAAGAAAGTAACTTATTATTTATATATTTAAGTATTAAGAATAGTACTTATCAATAGTGATAAAACAATTTGAAAATTTGCAAGTAAAGTAAGGGTGGAACTGGATTTTTTCTGTAGCTGAGAAAACAGAAGGTCACTAGTTATTACCCTGATAGGAGACACTAAATGGGTCTTCTGAAATTGTTATGTTAAACTGTTAGTTAAATCCAGTGCTCAACAATAATGGATTTGACATCATCATATTTTTATTGTTATTGTTTAACAGAAAGCTTGGAGATTTCAACCATCATTTAATTTTTTATATACCTGAATAATAAGTAGAGCACACTTAGTGTAATTCTTCCTCTATAAATATGGATTATATAACTCCTTAGTATCCAGAATATTAGTGTGTGGGTATGTGATGAATATAACCCAAAATGTGCTGATGTTGGTCAAAATCAAGAAGTTGTCCATTTGAAATGATACCTGATAGCAATTGTTAAATTTGTGCCAAAAGGAAAAATCTTCACTGAGATAGTTATTAGTTGGCTTTTAGGTAATCAGTGTTCTTGTGAATTATTGATACCATAATTCCTTCATGTGTAATTGTAGAAGTGTCACATTTTCTAGCTCTGTAATTTTGTCCTATTTTGTCATTGCAGAGCAGAGTCTGCAGATCATGGAGGGATTCAACCATTCTGGAGTATCTGAATTTGTATTACTTGGACTTACTGATTCTCCTGAGCTCCAGATTTTTTTCTTTGTGATGTTTTCTGTTTTCTATTTACTAACTATGTTGGGCAACTGCTTGATTTTGCTCACAGTCCTATGCACCCCACACCTTCACTCCCCCATGTATTTCCTCCTCAGCAACCTGTCTCTCATTGACATGTGCTTGTCCTCCTTTGCCACTCCAAAGATGATCATGGACTTCTTTGCTGAGCATAAGACCATCTCCTTTGAGGGCTGCATTTCTCAGATCTTCTTTTTGCACCTTTTCACTGGGACTGAGATTGTGCTGCTGATCTCCATGTCTTTTGACAGGTACATTGCCATATGCAAACCTCTCCATTATTCAACAATTATGAGCCAAAGAGTGTGTGTTGGGCTTGTGGTAACTTCTTGGACAGTGGGCTTCCTGCATACAATGAGCCAGTTAGCTTTTACTCTCTGTTTACCCTTCTGTGGTCCCAATGTTGTAGACAGTTTCTTCTGTGACCTTCCTTTGGTCATCCAGCTGGCTTGTATAGATATCTATGTTCTTGGAATCTTCATGATCTCAACTAGTGGTGTGATTGCTCTTGTAAGCTTTCTGCTTTTGCTCACCTCCTACGTCATTGTTCTTGTCACTATCAAGGACCACTCCTCCACAGGATCATCTAAGGTTTTTTCTACCTGTACTGCACATTTCCTAGTTGTGTTAATGTTCTTTGGGCCCTGCATCTTCATCTATGTGTGGCCTTTCACCAACTTCCTGGTGGACAAAGTTCTGTCTGTTTTCTATACCATCTTTACCCCCTTTCTGAATCCACTTATCTATACTTTGAGAAACCAGGAAATGAAGACGGCTGTGAAGAAGAAACTAAGAAACCAATACCTAAATCTTGGGAAAACTTCTCCAAGATATCCAGTGCAATCAATCTCCTGAGATTTATATCATCAGTTTATTTTTATAGCAATACTTAGTATCTTCATTTCAAGTCTTTTAGTTTAAAAAAATTTTTTTTCAACGTTTATTTTTATTTTTGGGACAGAGAGAGACAGAGCATGAACAGGGGAGGGGCAGAGAGAGAGGGAGACACAGAATCGGAAAGAGGCTCCAGGCTCTGAGCTATCAGCCCAGAGCCTGACGCGGGGCTCGAACTCCCGGACCGCGAGGTCGTGACCTGGCTGAAGTCGGACGCTTAACCGACTGCGCCACCCAGGCACCCCAAGTCTTTTAGTTTAAATTCACAAAAAGAAGAAGCCAGGGTTGAGAGATGTGAAATAATCTTGCCTAAAAATTACTGAGATGTTTGTGAGCCTTTTGAGGTTACAGACACATTTGAAAATCTGCTGTAATCTATAGGTTATTTTCACAGAAAAATGCACATATAATCAAAACATAAATTCAGGGCTTCATATACCCATGAATCCTATCAACATACCTCAGCAACTTACAGAAGCCTGAGATAAAATACTGTTCTCTTGTCTTCTACCCCAGAACATTCCTACTCAGTTGCACAGCCTTGTGGTACTTTGATGGTGTCCACTTGCAGAACTTTGATTAAAAGTGTTTATTTTTCATTAGAAATATTTTTATGGGAAAATTCAAATGGTGAAGAGATTCTTCTGAGTCAACTTTGAACAAAAGAGAACAGTTTGGAGGATCTGAAATTTAACAATCTGGTTTCTTAAGAAGTGTATAGATCATTACCACACTTGATAATTGATATAGCAAATAATTATTTAAACAGCCATTTGTGAAGTTTAAACCATAGAAAGTTTAAACAACTAAAATATGATTCTCTCCTAAAACCTGGCTGAATGTCAGAGATATGATGCATTCATTTACTCTCAAGACTAAATGTTTGAAAAATTAACTACTAAATTCATGACAAGTTTGTCATTTCCAAAGTAAAACATTATAAAACTTTATTAGTCTTAGTATGAGTTTTGTCTCTCATTCTCAACATAACGTAGCCTAGAGGAAGAAAAGATGAAACTAATTTAAAAAAATACATAGCACAATTCTTCCTAATCTGGCTTATTAGTGATTGTGTTAAACACACTTTTTATTCCAAGACATTTTTTGAAAATCAGCTAGCCAAACCATTTCCCTAACAGTGGAAGAACCTAAGATACAGAAAATTCTTAGAGCTGGTTCAAGACTGAATTACTGTAATGGGCAAAAGTCATTGCTCTAAATATACCTAGACCCCAGATTTAATTTTGGATCTGTCATTTCCTAGTTGTGTTATCCTGGGAGTTTCACTTCATCTCTCTACCCTGTTTAATCTCTAATATGAAGATAATAAAAATTGTCTATTGTGACCATTTTATGGAAAGTGGACGCAACAGACTCCAAAAATGTCATTTTCTTTTCCCTTCCCAACTACACAGACTCTTACCCAAAACTCATTTCATTTTTAAGTAGTATACCTTTAAAGAATAACCACATTCAGGTGAAACCAGTAGCTCACAAAATTTGACATTCTAGTTTTAGGACGTCTCTTTGCAGCTTGTTAAGACATATGGCAGAAGAACAAATAGAACACTTTCCAGTTTTCCATTGTTAACATGGAGGGTGGTTGTAGAAATTAGATTGCCAGATACTTTGTGTTTTTTATGAATAACAACATACTGATAGGCTGCATCTCTTTGAATTGACTGAAGTTTACGAAAATAGTTTAGGAAACAATCTGTTATGATGACATTCATGGTATTAATAGTTTCTTATATTTATTCTGGACTTTTAAGGTTTCAACATGATTCAACACAATCTTCAAGATAAATATTTAATATCTGAAGTTAAATAATGTGGCAGAGGTTTATGAAGAAATGTAGTATTGGAGCTAGGTATAAAAACCACATTCTAGTTTAAAATACTAGTTAATTTTTAGCCAAATCATAAACTCTTTATTCTTGCCATAAAGTCAGTCAAATGAGAAAAAGTAAAAATGTCCTTTTGTCTCATCTCCATTCTTTAGCAAAAATTATCATCTTTGTTTTAAAATATAAACCCTGCTTCTGGGGTGCCTGGGTGGCTTGGTCAGCTAAGTGTCTGACTCCTGATTTCGGCTCAGGTCATGATCTCATGGTTTGTGGGATCAAGCCCCACGTCAGGCTCTGTGCTGACAGCATGGACCCTACCTGGGATTCTCTTCCTCTCTCTCTCTGCCCCTTCCCCACTTGCTCACTTGCTCTCTCTCAAAAATAAATAAACAAATAAACATATAAAATAAAATATAAACCCTGCTTCTGAAATAGCAATCTTTAGTTCAATGACTATTTATTGAGCATCCATTCTGTTTAAGGTCCTTTCTGGGTGCTGATGATACTACGTTAATGTACAAGATCTATTTCTCTGTTTTTGAGGGACATATGTTTAGCAATTAGATGGGACCAGTCTTGAATTCCAATTGCATCGCTTTCTTGTTGTACAACTTTGAGCAAGTATTCCTAACGTTTCTAAGACTTTGTTTTCTCACCTATAAAATGTGGATCTAGTATATAACCACTAGGAATGTTGTGAAAATTGAAAAGACATGTAACACAATTAGCAGTGCTTGGCATTCATTAAACGTTTAACCAATACTAACTAATAAATATTACTTAGTGCCATTGTGTTAGATATGCACAAATGACAGGGTAAACGGAATGGAAATAGATGTGCTTACCTGAACTTAAAGGGCATGGTTTTAAGACTGTTTAGGATGTGTCAATTTACCTAAATATTAACTAATGTTAAAATATTGGATTTGTGCCAATTATTAATCTTTGGTGCATTTATGTAGTTAATGTTGTCCTTTATATGTTTGTGTTTTGCAAAGGAAGTATTATATTTTAGAAGTTTCTTATTCATTTTAAGTTTAAACATATTCCAAGATTGCATAGGAGGGAAAAAACAATGCACAATGTTCTACAGGTCAGTGTCCTGTTTCACGACAATGTTTTTAAATAAAGTTTTTATGATTGAAAAGTGATAAAATATTATTCATGTATTTTGTCTGTCTTTATGTTTTACCCATTCAAAAGATAGGGAAATGCTTTAAATTCTTAACTGGGAGGGGCAGCTGGGTGGCTCAGTCAGTTAAATGTCTGACTCTTGATTTTGGCTCAGGTCATGATTTCGCAATTAATGAGATCAAGCCCCAAGTTGGGCTCTGCACTAGCAGCATGGAGCCTGCTTGTGTTTCTCTGTCTCCCTCTCGCTCTACCCTCCCCCATGCTTGCTCTCTCTTAAAATAAACAAACAAACATTAAAAAAATATTAACTGGGAAATGAATGGTGACATTTACCTATTCACTTTATATTCA